TGGTGTTATGTGACCTTTGTGAAAATTTTTGGTCATTTATGACCCACAGGTTGAGAACCACTTCTCTAAATGAGACCCGTAACCTGTAAGTATAAAGTTCTTTTCCCCCCAAGTTGTTTTTGGTCATGGTGTTTATCACAGCAAGCAACAGAAATCAAATTAGAACAAAGATTATGTGTGTTTAGGTGTCACTGAAGCTTGAGGAGATGAGAGTTGGGATTAAAATTCAATGCTGAAAAGCTACAGATTTATGTGAAAGTATCAACCTGCTACGGGAGGCAGTGAGGTCTTAATACTGAGAAGATACAACATTCAGGACCAGAGTGGGTGCGGCCCCACAGTGAGGACCGTTTGGAAAGAGAAACAGAGATAACATATTTGTATTCATTCATTGCAGGCTGTGTTAGTGGACCGGAAAAAGTGACAGATGTGTACCTGGGGTAGACCAGAAAACAGGAAGTGGCATTAGTGACAAGCGCTGAGAATCTTAGTGGAGCTAAAGACAGCTCCTTACTTCCCTTCTGACACTTCTAATTTATCCTAATGCAGAGAACGTGGGAAGTTTACTGAATTCTGAACATTAAAGAGAAAACTAGTGAAACAAAGAGCAGTGAAAAATCTTCAGGAAAAGCAGCAATGCAAGGTGACCCATTTGAGTCAAGGGTTCCAGGCTTCAGCCTTACCTGAAACCTAGATTTTTAAGAAAGCAGAATTGAAAGTATCAAGTAAAAAAAAAGGAAACCCAAAAAAACCCATATATATATATATATATATATATAATCAAAAATATAATTCAGAATTTCTAGTCCAAGTTTCCTTTCCTGAAGAGTTACAGAAAGGAAGGCAAGCAAACACAGAATGGCTATATAATAGTGTCTGTCCCTCCAAGCTATTTTCCAGATCTGAGTCTAGAAGTTATAACTGACTTCAAGAAAGTTGGAGCCTCCTGTGAATGGAGGCTTTGAAAAAAGTTGTAGGTTAAAAAAAGACAAAACCAAAATGTATTGAAGTTGTGTTTGAAATGAGGATGTATGTAGCTACTTGACAGGACCACGTGGACTTAGGACAAAGAAAGTGACTCTTCCTTTGTATTCTTCTTATGGCAGTGGGCTTCCTCTAAAAGAGAATTTCATTTTGTAAGATGCAGATGACGCAGGCCTGCTGACATAAAAATGTAGGGTGCTCCAAGTAGGAAACCGTTGTCTAGAGATGTAGGAACTTTGAGAGTTGCTGCAGGAGCATGCATGCACTAGATGCAGGCAGTTGTAGATAGACAGATGGTTCACAGAGGAAGCAGGAAGTTGCCACCGTTTACAACCGGGAATTACCAGTGAAGTCCAACCCTGGTATTCTAATCTCTGTTAGTGGAGTTCTGATTGGTAGGTAAAAAAAATGAAGTAAATGTCAGTCATCTTCACTTGGGCAGAGGGTAAAGCATTTTGTTGTTGTTGATTGTTTTTCATTTGTGTGTGTGCACAAAGTTAAGATGGGGGAGACTAATGTTCCTGTGGTTAGATGGAATCTAATCAAGTGACTGTTGAGGGTCTGAAAGGAGTACTGCAGAGCGTGCTCTTAGCATGCTGAGTGCTTTGAACTAACGAGCTGAGAAGGCTTCAGAAAGTCTGACCTCCTGCCTCTATGCCCTTCTAAAGTGAATCATGAATCCAGAACTTACCTTCCACATAATGTGTCATAGAACTTAAAGCCCGTCTCTGTTAATCAGCCACAGAAACTAGAAAGGTCAATTTCTGTTCCTCTCTTGAAGACCTTCACTGTAAAGGGTCCTGACTACACTCTGGAGGCCAAGAGGACTCTAAGCAGAATTGTTGTTGGGTTCCCTCCCATGTTGCACCCTTCTGTCCGGAATGGTTCTGCACAACTGTCTGCTTTGTTTGTGTCTCAGGGACTTAAGCCTAAAAGGAAGGCAGTTTCCCTCGGGTCTTTGGAAGGCTCTCATCATGCAAAATTTTGATTAAATAAATTTGCTGAGCTTTTTCCTTGTGTGCCTGCTTTTTTATAGGAGAATTGGGAGTGACTTATGATGGATGAAGAGAGGTTTTGCTTTTCTGCCTCTAGTACTCGATTCAGATTTTGCTGTTTGGGTGTGGGAGGTGTTTCTAGCACGGATCACTAACTATAATCTTGCTTTGTGTGTATGTCTACCTGTTTTCTTAATCTCTTCCTTATTTCAAAATCCTAGAAGAGTTTTTCTGTTTGGTTTTTAAGTTTTAAACAGCCAGTTTGTTTAACCACCTCTCTAGTGGAAGCACAATAGCCTGGCTTAATCTGAGGGTAAGTTTGAGTATTCAGACTCTGTGTCTGTGGCAAACTGTGGACTGTGTGGCTTTCCCGTGTCCCGTGCGGTGCCAGCCAGGTGTCAAAGCACTTTTCCCATTGAGCTTGTGCTAGATTTACACATATAACCTAAGCACAGGCCTGACTAGTAAACACTGTGGACCTACTCTCAGCACAATTGGGAATAACTGAGTTGCTGAACGTGTAAGATTATCCTTCTGGCTGTTCTCAGTGGTCAGGTGTTAAGTATGTCAGTGTCCTTTAAGTTTCAGATGATGTGAAGATAGAACAACGTGTTTAATATAATGACTTACTAAATGAGGAAATGTATCTAGAAAATGACCACAGTCTATAAAGGTGGGTTACACAAGTCTTGTAAAGGAGTAATTCATGCTTTACTAGTAATACTAGTGCATGAGAGCATAAGATTATGAAACATTAGGGCTGGAGAGGTGGCTCAGCGGTTAAGAGCACTGGCTGCTCTTCCAGAGGTCCTGAGTTCAATTCCCAGCAACCACATGGTGGCTCACAACCATCTGTAATGAGTCCTGATGCCCTCTTCTGGTGTGTCTAAAGACAGCTATGGTGTACTCATATAAATAAAATAAATCTTTTAAAAAAAATTATGAAACTACATAACAGTGACTTTAAGATTTTTCAAGCATTAAGTTTTATACTCCATAGAATATTGTTTAGAAATTGTTGTTGAAAGTTTATTGAAATATTTTTTACATAGAAAATATTTAAAGCAGATACCAGTAAACACTAAAGTGAAAACAAATTAAACAGCTTCTTAAACCATTAATGTTACTTGTTAAGATTTGGTGAGAGTCGTTCTCTGTAGGCTTATATTTCTTGTCAAACTTAGGTATTGATAAACAAAAGAAACTACTATTAATTTATGACAGATTTTGTGCTAAAAGTAGATATACATATATCTTAATTATTATGGGGAAGGTGCTCTGTGTTTGCTAGCTGTAAGATTACATATGTGCCTGTTGAAGAGCAACTTAGTTTGTTTTCCCCTTTCTGTGGAAGCTATGGACATCAGAAAACAGAAGGAAGGCATGCACAGCAGCCCATTGGGTGCAGCCAGAATTAGGAGTGGGTGGTCAGCAGTGAGTAAGTTCCTGACTGGTCCCTTCCTGGACATTACCTGACACATCAAAGGAATGCCCCACACTCCTGAATCTGGTGACTGAGGAATTCAGATGGACTGAGGAACATTTCAGGTCATGCTCTGGCAAGTTTCGCTTATGACTAATTTTTTTTTTAAAAATAAACTGGAGACAAAATCGAATTTATGACTAATTCTTGTTCAGAAATTTTAAACTGGAGGATAGATCAATAAACTTAGATGGTAAGACTGGTTCCTGTACTCATTAATTTTAATCTTGTGAGTCAGTCTTTTGGGTCAGGTTGTTCTTTGAGTGACCAATCTCTCCTGTCACTCAGGACATTATTAGAATGTTATGATTCTTTCTGGTGTTCCTATGTTGGTTCTGGTCCTTTTCAGATATTATTCTTCAGCTAGTTTGGTTGTCACCTTGCCACTTTTGTCTTTGAAGGATATTAATTAGTCTTTGACCTTCCTTCTCCAGTTTGTAAGCATCTGCTTGTTTGAGTGTTGTGCTTTCAGGTTAGAAGCTGCCTGTCTGGGAGTGACTTGTACACAGTCACACATGCAGGTTCTGGATTTGGGGAAGTCCTGTTCTTCCATTGGTTTTCTGATGAGTGATTCCATCTCCGGAAACATCGAGAATGATTTCTGGGTGTGACTGAGTCTCCCTTCTGTTTTCTGCCTCCCACAGATTGGCTCACGACTTTGATCTCTCTCTAGTTTGCTGTCGTCTTTAGGTCTTGTCATTTTAAAATATTTTATTCCCACCTTAGTGTTGTTCCAGGAGGAAGCAAATTACACAATATTCTGTACAGTTCACATTTAATCTAGATATCTCCCTCCAGGACAGCAGATCCATCTGAAGTCTGACCCTGTCTGAAAGCTTTCACGGGGACTCGAGATGCCGTCCGTGTTCCCTGCCTAGACTCCACAGCCTGCAACATGCTTCTTTTCATTGTTTGGCCTTATACTTATTTCTGTGACAGTGCAACTAAATTGTTACTTTATTTTTTAGTTGTGTGTGCATGTGCACATGCCATGGTGCAAGTGTGGAGGTCAGTGGGCAGGTCACCAGGCTGGAGCAGGAATTGCCTCCCCACTTTACATCTCTGTCCTGTCTTCCTTTTAAAGTTCAAAGCACTCAAAACTCAAGGATCTATTCAACTCAGTCCATTTGTTTTGCTTATTAAGCATGTGTGATGTCTAAAACATCAAGTTGGTTATAGCCATCTTCACACCTGTCTCCTAGAGCTCCTTGTTTCATGGGGTTCACAAGAACTGAAGTCAGTGTGGGACATGTCAGGCAGGGAAGCTTAACTTGGGGCATCAGGGGACATTGACATTAAAATTTCACTGGGGATTGGGGGAGAGCACGGTCTTCATAAACAATTTCACACAGTTGGGAACTTGTTTAAGGAGAGTGCAATTACCTTGAGAAGGCCTCTGTCTGGGGCATGGGAGAGAGGAGTGTGGACTTCATAGAGTTCTGCCTGGGGATTTGGGAGCAGGCGTTTTATGTGTAAAGCCTTTAACGCTTTCTGTAAACCAGATGCAACACAAAGCTGTCTTCCTCTTCCATGCGTAGGTTTTCCTTACTGCTGCTCAACTTGGAGGAGTACTACTTTGAGCAGCACACAGCTTTCCATGTCCAGCATCAGGGCAGCCACGAGGAAAGGTGAGTGAGCTCAGATAGTGCTGGGCACTAGCGGACTCTGAAGTCTGACGGCTTTACACTAAACACAGGGCTGCATAGGGAGCCCTCTTCCCTCCTTGTAGCTAGGCAGTGAGATGGGGGCACAATTTACAATGGGTCTGGCTCCCATGAAGCTGCTGAGCAGGCCTCTCTTCTAGCACATCACTCTGCTCCTGCATCTCTCTTGTCACACGGTACACGCTGCTCTCGGTTACTGGGTGCAGTAAAGTGATGCTCATCAACCATGGAGCAGTCAGAAATGTCACCCTCTTCAAAATGAACTAATAAATAATACAGCGTGAACTGGAGGAAAATCTACCTTCTCCATAACTCCTAATGGCTCCTGTAAAAACAGATCCAGTTGCTTTGATTCAATTTCGGAAAACTGTGAATGAAAGCATGTTTTTGTCTTTGAATTTTTGTTTTCCTTGTACAAATTGTACTTCAGTGTCTAGATTTCTGATTAATATGAGCTTATTCTTACCTAGAAAATTCTAGCTAGTGAATAAAATGGAGTGATAGAATTTAACCCTCCAGTGAATCAATGGCTCTGTATGAGGGGCCAGCAGACTAGATAGAGCCTTTGGACACAATATGAATGGTCACTCGATTTCTTGGTTGTTTTGGGACAGCCACTGCCATTTGTTTCCCCGTGACTGTAATGTTCTATAAAGACACCCTGTCTTGCTCTTCACAGAGAATATACCATAATTATGGTGTATCATAATCTTCAAGGGCTGCTAAAACCATTAGGTGAGAGGTTACTGAGAACTTTTGTAGTGGGCAGGTCAAGATTAATCTCACCTCAAGTCCCTTGTATCTGCTGTAGAGACTGTTCCTCCCCTGAGGTACTGTTAGATTAGGGAAGAGAATCTGATCTATCTCATGGATAATGTGAAGAAGGACATGGCAGAGGAATATGACACAGATGAAGTGAGCAACACTTATGGGACTGGGAGGTGACCTGCGGCTACACCTTTTATCCCAGGTAGAGGCAGCAGTTGCCTCAGTTAAAACAGGATGACCCAAGGGCCCTGGATGGACAACGTGAGAGAATTCACCCAAGGGCTAGAGAAGTATCTAGCTGGCACTGAAATGATTGTAAAAGAAGCAAGGGCTGGCAAGATGGCTCGGTGGTTAACTCTTTCCTCGTGCACTCATGAGGACTGAATTCAGTCCTTCAGAACTATGTAACATACTGGCTTGGAATGGCTGCCTGCTGCAGTTCCAGCCTCAAAGACTGGAGAGAGGGCTTCTCCAGAGCACACTGCCCAGTGAAGCAAGCTGACCAGTGAAATTGGCCAGTGTCCGTGAGCTCTGGGTGCTGTTGGGAGATCCTGTCTCAAACAGTAAGGTGCAAGAGCAATGAAGGATGATTTCAACATCACCCATGGCCCTCCCCACACATTTGTCTACACACATGCAAACATGGGCACATACACATGCGAATACATGTGAAAAATGGAGGGAAAAGAATATAATCATAAACACTGCAGTTGTATAAAAGTACACTTTTAGAAATTACCTTTGGATAATTTTTTATAGATACATCCAATATTCCCTCACGTGTGTCTGACTTCATAGTAAGCTGTTGTCTTGGTTTAATCATTGATAAGAATCAATTGATGAAAGAAAGTAAAGGTAATGCATATTGACCCAAATTAACAACAACCTCTAAGACACTTGCATATTTTGTTTTTCCTAAAACATAGTAAAGCCATATGAATGTCTTAGGAAACTAAGGAAGTGGTCAGCCACACACCTGACTATATGATAGCACATCCACATTGTCTTTAAAATTGCATATTGCCATGAAGTAGATTTTCCCCTGAATACCTCAGAAGCATTGTTTATGCTATCTTCTATATGAAATTCAAACAACTTTCCTGTGACAAAAAATACTTCTAGTCAATTAATTGTACTTGTTTAGTATTGTCTTCTGGGTAGTTCTTCCAGGTTCAGAGAATGAAATCATCACATATTTAGCACGAGTCAGTGCTTCTGAGCCTTCGCTTCTGTGGAGGGCAGTTGTGAAGATTCAAAATAACAACAACGATAATGTTACTAATTAATGATAACTAATGAGGTCATGAGGTAGCACTCACCAAGTGAAGCTGTAACTTCAGTCTGTGTGCATTTCTTCAGCCTCCTGAGAGTGGAGATAAAGGGACATGGTGACTTATCACCCACCCTGCTACACCCTTTCTCTCATTGCTAAGCTTTTATTAGCTGACACCTTAGCAATCCATGTTCTAGTTAAATAAATAACTCTTGAGTTTGTCCTAGCTCATCAGATAATCTGTCTCTTCTCCTCTGGCTCCAGGAAAATCAGAGGCTCCTTAAAGATATGTTCAAAATCAGTGATTTTTGAACCAGATGCAATATCTCAGCCCATTCTTAAGGTAAAGGTGTTTTAAATGTGAGCAGAAACATTACTAATTGTGTGTATGTGTGTGTGTGTGTGTGTACTTTCATCTTTATTTTTATAACAATCTCTTTCAATTTTATCCAGATTCCTTTGAGAGACTGTTTAAAAATAGGAAAACACGGAGAAAATGGAGCCAATAAACACTTTACAAAGTATGTCAGTTTTCACTTTTAATTTTACTTCAACAAAAAAAAGTTATATGTCTAATGATTTTAATCTTCATTTCAGGGCAAAATCATGGGGTATTTCACTCATTTTCAGTCAGGTAAGAAGCATTTAGTAAAAATACTTATTAGAATGCTAGTATATATTTTTCCAAACTTGTGTGAAGATTTTTGTGTATGAATGTGTATAAGTTTTTTTGCATGATGAAATTATTCACTTATATAAATCTCAACTGAAAACACATGTAATAGATGTTTAAATGCCTTGAGAATTTAATCATTGAGAAATAAACTTTTTAAAAAATAATATTTTCCCACAGGACCCTCTATATTTACTATGCAGTTTGTCCTCAGGAGTTCAGCTTAGGAGGTTGGAATAAAAGCACAGCAGTTCCTTCCATGGCCTCCCAGGGTAAAGGTGGGAAGCCAGGGCCAGGCCACCTAAGTGACCTCAGGCTTATGCATGCCAGCCCAGCATGCCTTAGGAATGGCCCAAGCGAGCTGCTGTCTTTTGTCATTCTGGATACATGCCGTATTCACGTATGCATCCATGGTTGTACTCAAATCAGTATTGGTACCACATGACAAATTAAAATGTAGTTTTCTGTTGGTATATCATTAGTTCGTAGATTGAAAAAACTAAGTAAGGAAAGAGCAGAGTTCTTTCTTTGTTCCTTTGATTTGCAACTTCATATTCTTTGTCTAAGGATGTGTTAGCTGGGTTGCATTCTGTGCACTTCTGAAGTTCCAGAGCAACATCATTCTGTGATCAAATGAGTGCAGGAAATCTGTGGGGAACATGACTGCTCTTGAGCACTCAGTCCAGAGGATGCACAGGCCAGTGCCTAGAAAATCTTGGGAGTAGAGTGTTGGGTAGCAAGAGCGACCCCAGCTGTCTGAGCCACTGAATCCTTCGTTCCTAGAACACAGTTAAACATGTGTTGACATTTATCTTACGAAATCTGTTAGATTTTGGATTAAGTAACTTTCTGTTAGTACCTTCTGTGATTCCAATTTTTTAAAAAAGAAAAGATTCATGAGCTAGCTTTAACTTCATATTTAATGCCCCGGGTACAAATAGGTGCCATCATCTGGTGCTTTGTGGAGGGAGCGCTGTTATTAAGCCCAGCTCTGCGTGCACAGTTTATATTTCTGATTACATCTTGAGCTTATTGCAGGTTTTGCACATCTTGGAAGGAAAGAGTACTTTTTTAAGTTAAAAGTAACATTTTTTGAAAAGAACTACCCATCTTAATAAAGTTGTAATAATTTGGTTTTAGAAATAAAGCTCAAAGGCCTCCCTCTTTTAATAGTTTTGGGAAGAAATTTCAGATCACACTAATTCAAAATCAGGGGTACCTAGATACAAGCTACTCCTTCAAGGATTGTTTTAAGTATCATATGTCAAGACTTTTACCAAGTCTCAGAAACAGGTTTTGGTACAGAGTTTCACTTTCAGTTTTTTTTTTCTGTAGTTGCTGTTGGAGTAACATGTTTGTGTGTGTATGTTATGTGTGTTTGTGTAAATATTAGTTTTAAGCTGCATGTTCAATAGGGTAGGTAGATGGTAAGACAAGAAATCTGTCCTCCAGTGTTGGTGATGAATGTTATGAAGGAAGTGATATCAGACAGATGTGGGTGCAGGTTAGGGAACACTGATGTGCTGTTTTAGATGAGTGGCTAGGAAAGGGTCACTGGGAAAGAGCCACTTGACCAGTGACAGCAAGGTGAGCTGGCAGTGATCATGAGATTGAGGAATTGATTGAAGTCAGAAGATTCAGAGCAGAGCAAGTACTACAAGAAAGCTGGAGAAGGAGCAAGGACATTGTTGTGGTGACCGCTGAACCATTAGAAGGCTTTAGAGTCAGAGCAAATAAGAAGAAAAAGACTGATTGACCTGAGTTGTATTTGCAGTCTTTCCAGTGAGGGTCCAGAGTGGAGCCAGGAGATCCTGAGGGTATTCAGAAACCCTGGTGCTTCGTTTGCATCAGGATGGTGAGAGCTAGTCTGTCTGGATATATTCTGCAGAAAAGCCTGGAAATGTGCTGATGACTTAGTTGCAGTGCATAAAAGAGGACAACCCAGAAAGACTTAGAACTGGCTGGATTGTGCTACCCTTTACTGAAATAAAAGGCCAGGGTCAGGGGCAGATAGGGAGGAAGAGGCGATGGGGAGAGGAGAGGTTTTGCATTCTGAGGGAAAAGGCAGGAAATAACTGTCCAGGCAGTTGATGCACTCTGGAGATGGTGGTCTTGATTCTATACCGTTTTAAGATGCAGGTAGAATGGTGGTCTCATGCAAACACTATGTGCCAACTCTCTGTGAGTGAGGAGACATCTCTTAATGTCTTTGAATGTATCATACCTCCATGCCTTTGCTTTTCCCATTTGTTAGGAAACTGTCTCCTGGACTGACAACTTCCTGGCCTTATGTGATTGGGTACTTGATACAAATGATAACACAAGATACCTTGTATCTACTTATTGATGATTCACTTTTTAACATAACATTTGTGATTTCCATGTCAGTTACTTTAAAACCATATTAATGTAAGTATGGGTACCTTTGCAAATAGAGATTATGTATCAACTATTTAAACATCGAATTCATGGTATCTTTATAGGAATTCTTTTAGTGAAAACTTTTGATTATTATTTCAATGTTGACTTGTCTTTCTCAGGTATATTTCATTAAAGAGCACAATATCGTGGCACCATATAAGATAGAACGGGTAAGTAAATCTTCCCACATATTATTGAAATTTATGCAGTGATTTTGATCAATAAGATCAAATAAACCAGAGTCCCAGCATGCAGAGTCTCAAAAGGAAGATTTTGGTCTTTTGTTCTCCTTGGACCTTGACAGACAAGACTCACTTACATGGAAGGGGTCAATGTGTTTCAGTCAGTCTAGTGATTCAGGTGTGAATTCCACTCAGATACTCCTTCACAGACATGCACAAGCAATATGTTTGCACTTTTGTGACTGACTTTACATGTCAATGTGATTGGGTCACAAAATAATGCAGAGATTGGCAGTAGCTGTGTAGATGTTCTTAACTCGTCAGGTTGACATGTTGCTGCTTCTGTCCTCGACAGGGAAAAATGGAGTATGTCTTTGAACTGGAAGTTTCTGGGAAGGTGGAAGATGTTGTGGAGACGTTGTTACAGGTAAGCCAGCCTTCCACACTAGCACCTGCAGAGCACAGAGCAGACCCAGCCGGAAACCCATAATTTAGTTTTCACTTTTGTTTGTTGCAGCGGGAGAGCTCATATGGCTGATGCTGGCCTCCCTCCTGCCGCTCCCTTCCTTGTACTGAGATTAAAGGCATGCTCAAGGAACCTAGTATTTCATAGTATACAAATAATTGTCACTTTTCTACGCATGCTGCAGATTTACTTGAATATGTTGAATTTGAAAACTTAAGTAGGAAAAGCTGGACATATCAGAATCTTCACTGTTGCTAAGTGACAAAATAATCAGTAGTTTTCCATTGCTTCTAAACAAATACTTGTAATTATCTTCAAGGAAAACTAATTTTATGTATTTGTAACATTGTAGCTGCACAGAGCGTCCTGCCTTGATAAACTTGGTGACCAAATGGCCATGGTGAGTGTCCTGAGCAATTGCTGTGTTTGACTAGGAGTTGACATCTGTTTATCTCGCTGAGACTCACATCCATATTTTTAAATGGTTTTCTCAATAGATAACAGCTATCTTGCAGTCACGTTTGGCTAGGACATCATTTGACAAAAACAGGTAAGATTTGGAGATTTTGTTTTCTGAATAGAATGCAGTGAATGGGCAGGGCTGGGAGAGAGTACTTGCCTAAAACACAGAGCTGCCTTCATCAGCATCTTACTCTGAACCTGCTCCTCTCAGGGAATGGTTCAGCCTAGGAATGAGAGATCTTGGAGCTTCCTCTGCCCTTCTCCTTCCTGACCTCTGCCACTATAAAGCCCGAGCACTCCCACGATGGCCATCTCTCTAGCCCATCAGCGTGTCTTCTCCACTGTGATTGCTCCAGTGCACCATAGCAACCCTCAGTCCATCTTCTCAATGCTCGGCTTCCCTCTTCAGTTCCTCGTCACCCCTGAACCCAATGACATACTAAAATTTGTCCGGTGTAAAGAACACATTTCTCACTTGACTGTTGGAACTTGCAGTGTACAAGATGACCTGCTGGCATGGTCTCAGCCTCTTCCATGGTGGTGCTTGCTCGCTGCTCACAGCTCCAGATGGAGGTTTGCTCTTGTGAGTTTCTGGGCTTTGGCTGCTTGCAAAGGGAGCAGATCCTACTGGTCACACACTTCTTGTTCTCTTGTTCTCTTGTTCTCTCACGTTCTTTCCTCTCCTCCTTCATCTTAGCTCCTTGTTTCTCATGCTGAGAACATGTACCTGCCTCTTTTGCTCCTGGCTAACTGGACTTTCTGATTTTAGCTTAGCTATCAGTTCTTCAGGAGAGTCTTTCTTTGACCCTTCAAATTTCATCGAGTACTTTCCTATCATCCCCACAGGACCAAGAAAGTACACTTACTGTTCTAATGGTTTCCCATTGATTTTTTTGCCTTTATTAAGCATGCAGTACATTTTCTGAAAGTAATGGTGCTTTTTTTTATTATCCTAGTCTTTTGTTTATTTCTTGCCTTATATTAATTAGATGTGGGCTATTTGCCTATAATTTTATGTCATATTCTTCTGTATTACTTTATCTTTACAATAACTATTGATATCTGGTGGTACAAGCTGTCTCTAACTCTACGTGTAGGGGTTCTGACCTCCTAGGGTACCAAGTATACATGTGGTACACAGGTATACATGTGAGCAGGACTCATGAACACAACATGGAATAAATACATCTTAAGAAAATTAAAAAGTGGTTCACTTTGAAAGTTTTAATTTACTTGTCTAGAACCTAGAATATTATACTGGGGGATTTAGAGGGGAATCTTTATAGTATAAAATAAAATATTCTATTTATGTGCATAATGTCTAAAAAAGTGAGAGTAAACTTGCTAACATAAGCTTTCCTCATATTTTTGAAGTAATACTTAATATTTTTGAAGAAATAGGACTATAGTTTTACTATCTTTTGTGTAGAAAATTTCAAATTCTGACAGTCTTAAAGGATAATCTAATGAACACGGATATCCTATGACTTATGAGGTATGTATTTGTTAATGTACTTCCAGTTTCCCTTGGGTCTTGCTATGCTCCTTGGCATATTCATGTCACTGCTCTGCTGTGTGGGTGTGCATTTTATTCAAGTGGTTTTTTTTTGTCGTTATCCCTTCGATAGTGTAACAAGGCACAAGGAGCCTATGTGGCACCTGGAGGGCGTTAGCTGCTCTCAGCCATCAGTTCAACCTGCAAAGGAGGTGGCTACAACTCATGCAAATACTGTGTCCTTGTAGATAAGGAACTTAGGCACCACAGTTGTGTGTGTGTGTGTGTGTGTGTGTGTGTGTATCTGTATACATTCCTATGTATTTGCTTGATTCCATTTTTTTCCAAATATTTGTTACTGGCATAGAAATGTAATAAATTCTTTTTTATATATAGGTTGTGTAACCTGCCATTTCTAAATTCATGCATGAGAGAATCCTAGATTATTTTTGTTTGCTTTTCTTAGTTTGGTTAGGTTTTTTTTTTGGTATTTGTTTTTAGTTGTTTCTGGATAAGGACAGTTTCACAGAAATTTCTGATTATTTTTTGCTTGTTGTTTCACTGCACTACTTTGTTAATGGATATCTTGGAAGCAGATGTCCTGCCTTATTCTTGATATTGGGGAGGAGGCGCTAAGACTTATCACTGAGTGATGCTGGGTGAATACTTCCATAGGCAATCATTGTCACAGTGAGGACATTTATTTTTAGTTTGGTGAAACTTTTTTTCAATAAAAGATATAGAATTTTGTAAATTTTTCTGTACTTATAGAGATCATTTCTTCTCATTTATTGTAAATTATATTGATTTTTTAGTATTAAATGAACTATGTAAAAATACTATTTAAGAGCACACTGTGTGACTCTTTGCTTTGCTGGCATTTAGTCAGATTTGTTTGCATGTATCTACTTGGGAACATTGCTCTGTCATTCTTGAATATTTGTTTTGGTACAACGATCTCTTGACCTCACAGAATGGATTCGTATGTTCGCTGTGATCCTGTGTTTACAAGAAGATACTTTTTCTTTACAGTAGTTTTATAATTTGTAGATAAAACTATGTAAATATACTGTATTCTTGGAGGTTGTACTTAATGTGGCTTGTTTGTTTATTTTCACTGTCATTTTGAGAGGGGGTCTTGCTATGTGGCTCAAACTGGCCTGAAACTCACAATTCTTTTCCTTCCATCTCCTCAGCACTGTGATGTAATTCAGACCAGCACACCAGTTCTTCTTACTTCTTTATGTTTTGTTGATGTTATCTTTTGTCTGTTTTTAAATATGTATGAATGTTTTGCCTGAGTGTGTGTCTGTTTACCATGTGCATTTCTGGTACCTTGGAGAGCCCAGGAGAGGGTTTTGTTTTCCCTAACACTAGAGTTACAAATGAATATGAGCAGCCATGTGGGTGCTGGGAATCAACCCAGATCCCCTGCAAGAGCAGCGAGTGCCCTTAACTGCTCAGCCATTTCTTCAGCCCTGATCTTATTATTTAAATTAGATGCAGGACTACTTAATTTCCAAGTTGCTTCTTATATCTGCTTTGATAAAGTGTGTATTTCAATAATGTGTCCATTTTATCTGACCTATGAGCCACGTGTGTTTCCTAAATGCCTTTAACATTTGTAAAAAAAAAAAAAAAGACTATTATGTATTTGGGGGTGGGCTGCATGTGAAAGTCAGAAGACAAGTCTCTCAAGTCCCTTGGGAGAGAAGTTGAGCCATCCCATGGTAGCATGTCTTCCTAATGCTAGCAGACCATAGTAGTGCCTCCTCGTCCCTTCCTTGTGGTGAGACTTTTTCTGTTCCCTCGTTTTCCTTTGTCAGTGTTGTAAAGGGATTACCAGTCTTATCAACCTCAAGTAATAATGACTTTTGTCTTAATTTTCTAGTCTTTCATTTTACTTAAAGCTGATGTCCGCTCTTTTGATTTCTTTCTTCAGCTTATAGAGAGCAAAGGAGGCTTCCTGTAGCTGCTAGGAGCAAGGCTGCAGGAGTGGGCATCAGACCCTCTTCTGTTACAGTAGCGCTTCATCTTAGAAGGTCCCTGCTAAAGAACTGCTTCAGGACCTGTTTCCATCACCCAGTTTGTAATTAATGCTGCCAGTTCTTCTTTTGTCCATAGGTGATTAGAAGTATGTTGCTTAGTTTTCACACAGCTGAGGATTTTGCAGTTATCTTTCTGTTGCTGGTTATTAATATTACTTGATCAGAAAATGTTTTGTGTCTCACTCCTCTGCTGTTTTAATACATGTTCACTCAGTGACTATTTCCTGGGTCCTGGTAGGAAATGTCTGTAGCTCTTCAGCCTCTGCCTGCAGTACTGATTCCCTTTCATCTGGCTGAGGGTCCTTCCGAGGGCGTAGAGCACTGTTGTGCTTTGTTGACTCATTTGTCATTTTCTGGAGAGATACGCTAAAGGTGACAGCGATGACTGTAGAATTATTGGAGCTGTCCAAGCCTGCAGACTGTCTCACCCCTGTGAAACTGCCATCCTCCTGCCTCTGACCTGTTGGTCTGTTTCTTCCCTTTTGAAAGCCAAGGTCATTTAAATATGTTTGCGCTCTCGGGTTTCTGATTGGTTCTAAGGACTCACGAAGACTTTAGGGGTCTCTTTGAGTTTTCACATTTTCAGGTAGAGGAAAGTTTGTGCCAGCGTCATGTCCTGGGATTAAGAGATTTCTTTCTTAACTCAGTGCCAGGATTGAACCAGGGCTCCTGCGTGAGAAGCGCATGCTCTAGTGCCGAGCTACACTTCTAGGCCCCTGAGATTTACTTTTAATCCAGTTATTCAATTATGTAATCACCCTAAAATATTGATAATTTAGTTGTTTCCACCCTGCTTTTTTAATTCACAAATCAGAAATGGAGGTTTTGTTTTTTTTTTTTTAGTTAAGCATTTTAGGAGTAGAAAAGGCATCCTTGAGTGGTTTTATATGGAGAAGTGAAACTGACCTAAAAGCAACTGTACTTATGTGTTCTAACCCTTATAAAGTTAGTGTGCTAACAATAGGGTCTTTCTCTGTAGCCCAAGCTCCTGCCTCAGGCTCCTCTCTAGTGCTGGTATAAGAGGTACACACTTCGGCTCTCAGCTCTAAAAGTAGGTCTTAACCATATGAAAGTAGGAAGTCACATGGATGTAGAACAAGCTTCAGGACTGATCATTTGGGAGATATTTGTTTCTGTGATATGTCTGCTCTTCAATTAATAAAAAAGCCAGGCCTCTATTATGCCATGTGAAAGCGTGTCAACTTTATTTAAGCAGCCACTTTATAATTGTAGTGTTTAGACAGATAAGCAAGCACATTTACATTGTGATTAAGCCTAGACAGTAGATCAGTTCTTATTTTTGCCGCACACCATCTTTGCAGGTTCCAAAGCGTTTCTGAAAAGCTGCACATGGAGTGCAAAGCAGAGATGGTAACACCTCTGGTGACAAACCCTGGGCATGTGTGCATTACAGACACCAACCTATATTTCCAGCCTCTCAACGGGTACCCGGTACGTAGATCACAGGGCCATGTACAGTGCTTGCTTCTGTCTTTCAGCTAGATTTTCCAGGAACCTGACATGATAATTACTGAGCCCTCACATCTTGGGGCTGGAGAAAGTCATTTTTCAACTCTGTGCAGCAGTGTGACTTCCTAGTGCCCTGTGTAGTTGGAGTCAGGTGCACACTCACCTGAATTTCAGCCATTCTGCAGAACCTTGTACCTAGTAGTGTGTAAAGAAAGTCCACTCCTCCTGATTATGGATGAGTCAAGAGTCCTTCTGTTAGGAAGCACAGGAAAAGACACCAAGGAAGTTCTGTGGTGAATGAGAAATTGATCCTCTATGTGCACTTGCCTGTGTGTAAGCATGGGGCGGGGGAGCTGCTTGTTACCCTGCATTGCAGACAGTAGCTCTCTGTCTTCCTTGAGTAGTGGTGTAAGGTTCTCACAGCCAGTGTGGAGTCATGTAAGATGCCACAGTCTGGAGCTGTAGGACCCCTCCCCACCATCTAGGAAACCATCTTTTCTTTGAAAAGAACACTAGACCTAAAACTGTTCCAGGAAGTGAACATAAATCAGATCTGTACACTAACACTAGTCAAGACTTGCTGCTTCTCCAGAGACCGTTCTTTTCTGAGTGAGCCATGATAACAAGACAAGTCTCCTCCCTCTGGCCACACAGCTGTGCCAGTTTCAGGGCACCTTAACCATAGGGGATGTGTTCTGTGGAAGAAGAGTATGCTCTGGGAATAGTCCAGGCTGGTCATTGGCTCTAAACCCCTCAGACATGGTGTCATAACAGTTCTGTCCACTAGGTGGTGGCACATACTGAGCAAAGCTTCCAGTGACATGACACATGGCTGGCTGGCATGGTATTCTCTGATACCGGCTACTACTATTACTATTTTTGGTCAAAAACTTACAGAAACTGCATGGCACCACAGCCTCGGGGGACATAGTGAACATATGTTTATTCCCAACCCCGGCCAGGCTTCCTCACTCTTGCATAGCCTGGCTTTCCTGTCACCTGTGAGCAGGAATGTAGAAGTTTGGCCTTTATCTAAGCAGACCATATTTTCTAATTTTGATTCTCTGTTTTCAAGTTCCAGAGAATCAATTTTTTTTCTTTAAAAAAGAAACAGTTTTAATTTATGGCTTTAATACTCTGTAATATTAAGGAAATGAAAAACATAATTCTTTTTTTTTTCTTTTTTTTTTTTTTTTGAAAAACATAATTCTTTAAAATAAAAAAAGATGTTAGGACAAAGCAAGCCCCAGAGAACCTGAGGGCTGGAGCAGTGGTTCTGTAGTTAGAGCATGTGCTGCCCAGTCCTCTGGACCAGAGCTAGAATCCTGGTACCTACAGAACACATGGCGTTCCACGCGTACCAGTAACCTCAGCTCAGAGACAGGTGGAGACAGGTTCAGGGAGAGATCCTGCCCCAAAGGATAGGTGGAGAGAGAGCAGACCTGATGATCCCTTCCGGCCTTACATACGAGTGATGAAACATGCAGCCCTACACACATAGGTGCATGCATACACTTCAAGGTACACAGACAACCAGACAGACGGCCAGATTATATTTTAAAGGAGCAGACTTTTTGAATAGTTATTTATGCTCATTCCTGAATATTCCACACTATTCAGTAACCCTTGTGAAACTTGAAAGATGAAGGTACCATTAACATCTGAGATTACTGATAGGCTTAGGAACTCATCCCAGTAGAATGTGAAACCAGGTATGATTTGTTCAAGATCGCTTCTAGGTGTTTCCCTACAGCACACTGGGAAGGCAAGGATTGTGGATATTCCCCTTCCTGCTGTAAGATACAAATGAACAATTTTTAATTGAGCTACAATGGTGACACTTGACACCGTCTTTGTACTTTTTAAAGAAACCTGTGGTCCAGATAACACTCCAAGATGTCCGGCGTATTTACAAAAGGAGACACGGCCTCATGCCTTTGGTGAGTTCAGTTGCTTGTGGGGGATTGTCAAGCCTGCAATGTAGCAGCTGATTTGACTTACAGGCCCCTCCTCAGGCCTGGAATCTCAGGTGCTGTATGTAAGCATGTGAAAGCTAGACTTGATAGAAGAATAACTTTTCTGGAAATAAGAGGTTCGTTTGCAGAAAATATTTTCTCTCAAAGAGCAAAAAGACTATAGAGTTCTTAAGCTTCTCACTCCTGAATTTTCAGAGCTCCTGGCCTGAGGCTAGAACAGTGTTTGCAGAGCAGTCCAGCATTCCTCCCACCTTGTACCCACTGCAGCTGGGTCTCAGAGTAAGACTGGGAAGATTCTCAAAGTCCTTTAGTACAGTAAGAAGGTACAGACATACAGCCACAGCGTTTAATGTAGCCTCTGAGCTCAATGAAAGAGAATTAGGAAGAACAACCGTTAAAGCACTCAGCTGCTTCTTCCCACCACTTCCCTTACTATGCACACACCACACTTATATTTGTCTCACATATGCCTTAGAAACTAATCACCATGGAGTAGATGATTCCAAGGTGTTTTGAATTGACATCGATATAAATTCATTTTCTTCTGCAAAGTATAACTAGCTCATTTTTGTACTTTTAATTTGTGAAATTCAAGCACTTTGCTACCTATTTTCTGTCCATTTCTAATGTTGGTAGAAAGTCAAGGAGAACAGATACTGTTAGAATCTTGTGCTCTTACTATAGGAGAGCAGACAACAAAGCAACAGAGTTCCCATTGGTTCAGCCCCCTCGCATCCATCACAGCTGCTGTACAGACACAGAAAGCAGTTGTGAATCAGGATTAACTTCCTAACTTCCCTAGCTAATGCCAGTAGGCTGAACCCAGGACCACCTGGGCTCTCCTTGCTGTCTTATCCAACCGTACTTTTCCAGCATATTGAAGCTCACGAAGCTTATTGTTGTCTTTTCTCTTGAGCCGTGACCTTACAGTGTAGACCAGATGGCCCGGAGCTGATGGTCTCCTGCATCGGCCTCCTGTGTGCTGAGAAAACATTCAGCTCATGGCTTTTTTTTTTTAATAATCATAATTGAATGGGCTATTTGATTATTAATTTGTTATGTTTCATGGTTATTTAACATGTACAAGAAAGCTAAACATTTATATCCAAGAAAGGAATGTGGGTTGATGAGTCATCTAATTTTAGTAAATTCATAAAAGAGATAGTAACAGTATTTGGTACCAAAGAAAATACATTGTTTGCAAGAAGTTTTAAGATAACACATGTTACTATAGAGACGAATATCCTTGAATCAAATTGTCAATGTAATGAAGGTCAAAAGTTCAAGTGTGTAGATGCTTAACTGACTTTTAAGATTATTTACATGTGTGATTTCAGAATGAAATGAAATGGTGCTATTTGTTTTATTCTTTCTGCATCTTTAGGGCTTGGAAGTGTTTTGCACAGAAGACGACCTGTGTTCTGACATATACCTAAAGTTCTATGAGCCTCAAGACAGAGATGACCTCTACTTTTATATTGCCACGTACCTAGGTTTGCTAGTCTCTTTATGTTCGGTTATTAAAGGTAGTTAAGTACCTAAGAAACTGGGACAGCAAGTAAGAGAACAGACGTCACTTCACCGTAGTTATTCTTGTTTGTTCTCTGATATAATATCTTAAGAACAAGAGAAATGTGAATTTATTTCGGTAATAGTTCATTTGTGTGTTTTTAAAGCTCTTGATGAATATGTTTAAATATGTCTGTATTTTAATGACCTCCAAGTTGAGTGAGTTACAAAGAGTCTACTCATGTGTTTTTGTGTCCAGTCACGTCATGATTTAATTTGTAAATACCCAAACCAGAGGGTTTTTTAAGGTGGGAGAGGATGTTTGTGTGTAGGTAAATGCTAAGGTTGCTGCCAAAGCCGCTCGCTCCCTCTGCCCTCCGGCCGCCGCTCCCTCTGCCCTCCGGCTGCCGCTCCCTCTGTCTAAGCTCACTTCAGAGTTTGTTCAAGCTTTCCCCAAAGGGTCCAAAAGCTAAAATAAAGAAATGTTTCATGTTTTAAAGCCTTTCCTGGTGGTTAGTTAGAAACTTGGTAAAAAGTAAGAGTACATAAATAGCAACACAGCGTATGAGCTAAGCTGTCTGGTGCATCCAGGAAAGAGTTTACATTCAGAAAAGCAGAATTCTTTAAACAAAATGGCAAAAGCATTCCTTTGTGGGAAAGTTGAGTCATCCCAGCCTTTCTAAATCCAAAGTTTTCACTAAGAGGCCATTTTTCCAGGGACACTGGCCTTCTGGGTTGCTCTGATTTGACACTTAGTCCTGCTGCAAAATCCCCCTTTTTCTTTGGAGTTTTGTCATTCTTGGGATCATAGAGAACATGTAGCTGACAAACTGGCAGTAGCCCACCTCTTCAGAATCTAAAACAACGTTAATTAACCCCTTATGGTTTTGTTCTGGTTTCATAAAAAATGTGGGGGAAGTGTGCACAAATGGCCATGGTTCTTAAAACTGTCAAAACCCAGCACGTTCAGTAGAACTCTGTGTTACTCACTGTGGACTTGTCATCTGTTGCAATAGAATACTTGTGTGTTACTCCATATTCTCAGTATTTGTAAAGTTTCGTCATATCTGGGAGTGGCTTGGTAGTTCAGTATGCTTAATAACTTCTTTTCCTGAGTCTTTGGGAAAACAAATGAACAATTCAGAAGTTTGTGGAAGGAGCTAGACTCAGGAGGCTTGTTCTGACACATTAAGTCAAAGCTAGCCAGTGCCCTGCGAAGGGCAGTGACCTCCAAGTCCCCTCTCCCCTCAGAACACCACGTTGCGGAACACACAGCAGAGAGTTACATGCTGCAGTGGCAACGAGGGCACCTCTCCAACTACCAGTACCTGCTCCACCTCAACAACCTGGCCGACCGCAGCTGCAATGACCTGTCCCAGTACCCCGTGTTTCCATGGATAATAAGTGACTACTCCAGCTCAGAGCTAGGTGAGTGCTCTCATGCATGGCTTCCAATGAGAAGCTGCTTCCAAAGGGAAGGATGTTGTCTTAGTTAGGGTTTTGCTGCTGTGAACAGACACCATGACTGAGGCAACTCTTATCAGAACAACATTTAATTGGGGCTGACTTACAGGTTCAAAGGTTCAGTCCATTATCATCAAGGTGGGAACATGGCAGCATCCAGGCAGGCATAGTGCAGAAGGAACTGAGAGTTCTTCATCTTCATATGAAGGCTGATAGTAGAGTACTGGCTTCCAGGGAGCTAGGACGAGTGTCTTAAAGCCCACTCTCACAGTGATACACCTACTCCTACAAGGCCACACCTACTCCTACAAGGCCACATCTTCTTAATAGTGCCATTCCCTGGGCGAAGCATATACAAACCATCACAGATGTGATTCCTTTTATATCATTTCTCATTATAGGACAAATTTGGTCTCATTTCAGTTTTCTTACCAAAGATTGCCAATTTCCATTTCAAAATATTAGACAAATGTTGTAGAATATTTTATGTGTATTTACACATTCTTGAAGGTCATACATAGGAAATATATGCATAATTTTAATTCAGTCTTCCTACTATTATGTTTAAGTGCGAAGTTTTAAAATATTTAAGTTTCTCACTAAAAATTTCAAGTTAGTTCATTATTTTAAATTTACATTGAAAATTTAAATACCAAAAAGAAAAAAAAAATCAGCCATCTACAATCAAACATTCAATCACAGGAGGAAGTGGAAGTCATTCCTAGTCATATTATTGGAGATGACTATACTCAGGCTTTGTGTAACTGTGATAAGATACCTGAGAAAAACAAGTTATAGGATGGAAGATTGATTTCAGCCCATGGTCTCAAAGGGTTCCATGCATCATATTAAGGAGGCATCAAGCAGAGCCAGGAGGCATGGCAGCCAAGAAGCAGAGAAAGAAAATAGTGCAGAGGGTCAAGAAAGATACTGGCTGGAAGACATGCCCCTAGTGACCTTCTCCAAAGGGCCCACCTCCTACTTCTGACTGCTCCCCAAAAATGACATCATATTATGAATGAACTAAAGGACCAGCCCATTCATTTGGTAGGCAACCTCCTCATCGCCATCGGATGGTCTCAGGAAATGCCAGTAGGGACTCATGTAGAATCGTGTTCCAGTGAGGACATGTTGAAGTAATTATTTAAAACATCGGCCACTGGTCAACCCGATTATCTAGGCTGCAGCGGCTCTGCCTAGCTCAGCCGCCATGTTTTTCGTCCGGAGGCCACGTGCACACTGCAGCTAGAACTGGCCCACCAGAAATACCAGCCCTGCCGTCCACAAGACGCCAGCGTGAGAGATGGCTCTGCCAATCTTCCACGCTGTCTCTGCAAGGCTGGGCATTGCCCAGACCATCCCATCATCCATGCAGGCCCAGTAAGAGAATGAGACTCTAATTCTTATAGATTAATCAAAGGCTTTATATGTTTGGTAATGATTCATAACAAGATGCCCATACAAAGAAAGTTGTATCCCAATTAGCTAACCTAATTATAAGTTGTTCCCCACGACTGCTCACCATACCTGTGTGGTTCTCCATCCTCCTACATCTCTGCCTCTCTAATTCCTCCTCTTCCTTTTCCTCTTCCTCTCCTAACTCCTCCCACCTTAGCTCCTCCTACAGGGACACATGTAGAAGCATGTTCCAGTGAGGACACATGTAGAAGTGTGTTCCAGTGAGGACACATGTAGAAGTGTGTTACAGTGAGGACACATGTAGAAGCGTGTTCTCAGGCCACTGAAGCTGGCACTCAAGACTACCACAAATGCCAGGCAGTGGTGGCGCATGCCTTTAATCCCAGCACTTGGGAGGCAGAGGCAGGCGGATTTCTGAGTTTGAGGCCAGCCTGGTCTACAGAGTGAGTTCCAGGACAACCAGGGCTATACAGAGAAACCCTGTCTGAAAAAAAAAAAAAGACTACCACAAGTAACACTGTCATATTATTATGGCATTAACACTTCTTTCCTGTTCCCTTAAATAATGTTCCTAAAATTTGTTAATATTATAATTTTATATCATAACATTTTTAAATTATGTATTATGAACAAAGAGTTCTTTTAACGATTTAGTGAGTTGAACTTTGTCATTTAAAGTACTAACAAACTGTTTAGGAATATAAGATGGTATTTCTTGGTTAATTTTCAAATCTTTGATTTTCAAATGTTACTGATGGCACAAGATAATATCACTGTAATTCATAGGACATAAACCTTAGTAGAAGAATATGGGTTTAAAATTTATTTTTGAGTTTTATTTTTGAATTGGGCTTCTTTTGTTTTTGATTAGAAAGTAACTTAAAATTACTTTCCCTTTTTCTTTTTTTCTTCCTTCCCTCCCT